TGAAAGGTATCACTATGAGACATCTTTATAACACTCTGACTATCACAATGTAGAGTTGTCGACAAGGACTGAGGTGCACCGAGATCAGCTAGTAGCCGACGTAGTTATGATATATCCGAGGTGGAATCAACAAGAGCACGATACTCAAACTCAACACTCGATCTAGAAACTAAAGTTTGCTTCTTATTGCACCAAGAGACGAGTGAATCGCCCAGAAAGAAGCAGTACTCAGTCATGGAGCGACGGTCAGCAGAATCTCCAACCCAATCTGCATCAGAATAGCCGCTAAAAGTCAAGGAAGAATGGGCCGAGAAGTGTAAACCATGCAAAAGAGTGCCCTTCACACAATGAAGGATGTGCAACACAACAGAATGACATGTCGTTCTCGGAGCAACCATAAATTAACTCACAATATGAACAATATGGGTCATATCTGCCCAAGTGACAGTCAAATAGATCAAGCTCCCAATGAGTTGACGATATAATGTAGGATCCTCAACAAGAGAGCCATCAAGTGGAGTAAGACGAACATCATAATCAAGACGTGTTGAAGTTGTCTAATAATCAGTGAGACCGTCCCGAGCAGAAGATCAGAGGCATACTTGGCTTGAGACAAACAAAAGCCATCAGAGGAATCAGAGATCTCAAGACCCAAAAAATAGAAAGCTGGCCCAAACTCTTCATCTCAAAATGATGACGGAGATAGTCCTGTAAATTGAAAATACCAAAAACATCATCTCCTGTGATGATCATATCGTCAACATAGAGCAACAGAATAATGATCTCAGATAAGGAGCGCCGAAGAAACAAAGCAGAATATTGATCACTCGTTGTGAAACCAAACTGAAACAATGCAGAAAAGAATGTAGCATACCAGGAACGTGGTTCTTGCTTCAAACCATACAAAGATCGACGTAGACGACAAACCTTCCTAGATGACAAGGACCCTGGAGGAGGAGCCATGTAAACCTCTTTAGATAAGGCACCATGTAAGAAGGAATTCTTGACATCTAACTGCAGAAGAGACCATCGACGAACAATAGCAACTGCAAGTAAACACCGGACAGTAGTAAGACGAGTAACCAGTGCAAAGGTCTCTTCATAATCTATGCCATATTCATGTGAGTAACCCTTAGCAACCAGATGAGCTTTGTAGCACTCAATACATCCATCTGAATTGGTCTTCATCTTATAAATCCATTTGCACCCGATGGGTGTCTTGCCAGCAGGTAGATCCACCAAATCCCAAGTATGAGTCTTTTCCAAAGTCTGCAATTCTTTAAACATTGCTTGTTGCGACAATGGATCAGCACTTGCCTCACCAAAAGACCTAGGCTCAGGATGAGATAGTTTAACCGAATAACAATGATAGTCAAGTAGGTGAGAAGGTGGATGACTTACACGAGTTGACCGTCAGAGATCAATGGTAAGTGAAGGGACAGAATCAGAAGTAGACTTAATAAGAAGCGTCGGTTCAGGATGCACAGGTAGAGCCAATTCAGAAGATGGAGGCATGACAGACATGTCAATGATCTGTGAGGCAGGAGAAGTATCTGGAAAGAGATCCGAAGTAATGGACATGAAGAAAGGGGGTACCGAATTAAACTGAATGTGAAAGTTTGACAATGAAGAGAAAGTAGTATAATCCCAAAAGGTAACGGGACGCGAATTACGCAACCGACTAAAAATAGGATCCAAACACCTAAACCCTTTGAGTTCTACTCCATAAACCAGAAAACAACACAAACAAGCTTGAGGTTCTAATTTGGTTCGCTCATAGGATGGGAGAAGAACAAAGCAAACACAACCAAAAGGACGTAGCTAGGTATAATCAAGTGACTGACATCTTGAAGAACTGAGGAGGGTAATTGATTGATAGCATAAACATCAATCAAGGCTGCTTCACCCCAGAAACGATTAGGCCACTTAACAGAAAGAAGAAGAGCATGAACAGTATCAAGAATGTGACGGTGCTTACTGTCAGCTCGTCTAATTTGTTGGGAAGTATAAGAACAGGAACACTGAACTACTGTGCCCTAATCAGAAAAATATTAGAAAAGGTAGAATCATTGTACTCGAGGGCATTGTCAGTACGCAAGACTTTTATAGAACAAGAAAATTATGTGTGAATAATCCTAGCATACTGAATATATGTGGCGGGTAACTCAGAACGATTTTTGAGAAAATAGATCCAGGTAAAACGAGAAAAATGATCAACAAAAATAACAAAATGCCAAAAACCATTCATAGAAGCAACAGGAGAAGGACCCTAAATATCGGAATGTACCAAAGCAAAAGGAAAAAAAAAAAAAAAAAAAAAAAAGCCGAGTGTTTCCCAAATATACAATGAGGACAACTGAAAGACTCAAAATGACTTAGACTTAAACCCTTATTATATAAAGAGCGAACTTTATTTGAAGATGCATGTCCATGAAGAAGATGTCATTGGAAGGTGGACTTATTATTGGTGACAACAACAGAAAAATAATAAGAGCGAGAGACTTGAAGAGACTCAAGCTCAAATAACCGGCCAGTCTTGCGACGCGTCCCGAGAAGCCATCCCGTCTGTGAATCCTGAACCTGAACACCAGAAGATGAAAATGTAACAATAAGATCTTGTTCAACCAACTGACCAACAAAAATAGTTAAGGCCAAGTCAGGAATGTAGTATGTGTTGGGAAGATACAAAGAAGGAGAAGAAATCAGACCAGTGTGAGTAATATTCATATGAGTACCTTTGGCAGTATGTATATGAGGTAAAGAAGTTATGGAAGATGAAGAAGACAAAAATTGTGGACTGGAGGTCACGTGATTGCAACAACCATAATCAAAGTACCCAATGAGGTGTACTTGCAGTAGCAGACATAGAAGAATTGGAATGGATAACCTGTTTGAGAATACTTTTTATGTCTTAAAGAGTGTAGAAAGAGTGTTGAGGCTCATTAGTGACAGCCACTGTAACGGAGGAAGTGGCAGTTGAAAAAGACCTACAGACCCTCAATATCGGGAAGATGAGACCCCCGAACATTGAGATTTGACTGGACAAAATGGAGCAATATGACCCCGAGCATGGAAATGTGTCACTCCACTTTAGGAAAAGTGGCATAAGTGTGCCCAAAGCTCCTGCCAATCTGACATTATCCCGAGAATGGCGACTGAGACTGATGTGACGGAGCAGAAGCAGAAGTAGGCACAGCTAATGCAGACTCAAGCTGTGGCATCTTGTCCAACTGAGGGCGATTCTTCTAAAAAATAATCTCTTACATAGCAGCATCAAGAGTAGGCAGGGGATGATGATGCAAAAGAGAAGCACGAACAGCCTCATACTCAGGACAAAGAGCCATCAAAATCTAAATAAGATGAAGATGGTCTGGACTAATCTCAGCCTATCGGAGACGATATCAGATGGGTTGTACTTGTGCAAGAAACTCATTGATCGATTGACCCTGTTGCTGCTTGGTGTAATGCAAAGTACTTCAAAGTTGATAATAGTGATCCAGACCCGTAGTCTGAAACCGAGCTGCCAAAAAATCTCAAGCCTCCTTCGCACTATCAAACAAAAAAAGCTGCACCTGAATAGCAGAGACTTAAGTGTTACGTAGTCAAGTAAAAAATTGATGGTTCTTGCTATCCCAATCCTCAAATGATCGACATATGCCGTATGAGCCTGTGGGGTAGGGATGGTATCCCCAATACGAGACGGATGCACATGTGACAATACATCACCAATCACAATTCTCCAAAATTTTCTCCCAATCAAAAAGCTTTTCATAGATTGTGCCCAAAGACTATAATTATCTGACGACATTCCAGGCTAAACTCTGTCCTAAGATAAGACAACACTAATAGGAGGGTGCACATCCATACAATCCATATCCAAAAACAGATCAACACAATATCACGAATGGATCCAAAAACATATCAGCACAATATTACGAAACAGATGAAAATCAAAGTACGAGTTGAATCAAGAATCAGTAAAAAAATCTATACGGGCAGAAAAAAAAGGTCACGGATACGATAACTGATCGGACCAGAACATAGCCAATAATTCAAGGAGCCGACGGATGAAACGGCGGCGACTGAGACTGATGTGACGGAGCAGAAGCTCTAATGCAGACTCAAGTTGTGGCGTCTTGTCCAACTGAGGGCGAGTCTTCTAAAAAATAATCTCTTAAATAAGCAAATTATTGTTGTTTGTTATGTATATCATTTTTATTTTTTATTTTTTTAATCAATAATAAAAAAATTTAAAATATGATTCAAAATGAAAGTAGGGTTGTTTCCATTCTCTCTATTTCGTAACTTAAATATAGATTAAAATTTAAAATATAAAAAGTAAAATAATAAAATTATAAACATTAATCAACATTATCGGTTGTATCTATTATTGAGTTATTATTTACAAAAATGGCATACATTATAAAATTAATGATAAAAATATATATAATTATATATTATACATATAAAATAAATAAAAAATTATATATTAATTAAACCGGTCCGACCGGTTCGACCATTGGTCCGATCAGTGAACCATTGAACCAGTAATTTCACCGGTTCGCTGACCGATTCGATTTTCAGAACCATGGTTTAATTCAAAGAAGAGAAAAACAACTTAATATTTTTCTTTCCCTGGATATATATTTCGTGTTTTGAGTCTCACTTTGGCATATTTATTAAAAACATTCTAATGAGTTAATAGAAAAATGGAAGGATCCAAAATTAGAAAAATGAAAAATTTATAAAACTTTGCAACCCACTTGAAAGAAACTAAAAAAATCAAGAATTTACAAGTAGAATATCTCTTTTTGTGTTTTCTCTTTGCTGTTGGATGGCAATATTTACAAATTTCAAACTTAAATATATGCCTATGGGCAAACCTAGTTAAAATTAGGACCATTTAGCTTTTTAATTAATACAATAACTAAATATTTGGTTTATAAATTCTAATAACCACACCACCCTCTATAAATAGCATGGCTTAGCATTAGCATCTCATTCCACTTGTATTATTACTCTTCAAAGTCCCCTAAAAGCAAGTCAAGGTTTGCTACTCCTAAACACCAAATGGCGCAGTCAACAGTCTTGGTCTTCGCACTTGCCTTAGCCATCACCATGCAAGACACTCTTGGTAAGTTAATCAAATCTCAGGTCACATTTCATCATAACTAGTTTTACAATTATATTTATAGCACAAATTCTTGTGTGAGTCAGCTTAACCACCAGATGGGTCAAACTGTCATACTCTATGAACAAAAATGCATATTTATAGTATCAAATATCATACTTTATTATACTTATGCTAATGATATTTTCTAAAGCCTGACATTTACTAATGAAAGTATTCATATTGGTGAAAAGGAGTATGTTGACTAACAAAAAACCTACCGTATTTATAACCATTTTTGGTAAAACTTTTACCTGTTTTCATATATAATATATCTTTTTTTTATAGGTGGATTGATTAGTTTCGGTCGTGACAATAACATCCGGTGTGAGGACATTGATCGGGATTCGTGCGCCTTCTCGGTGTCCTCCACCGGCAAGAGGTGCGTGCTCGAGAGCCGCCTCCTCCGATCGGGGTCGGAGGAGTACACATGTGGCACATCCGAGATAGTGGCCAAAAAGTTCAACAACCACGTCGAGATCGACAAGTGTATCCAAGCCTGCGGTGTCGACCGTTGGACCCTTGGCATCTCGTCCGACTCCCTCCTCGACCGCAGGTTCGTCGCCAGCCTCTGCTCCGACGAGTGCTTCCAGAATTGCCCCAACATCGTCGACCTCTACTTCAACCTCGCTGCCGGTGAAGGTAATATATCACTAAGTTTCAATTTTACCCTTGTTATTGAAAGAAGTGCTTGGCTAGGGTCTTTTTGGTTTAAGTCTCTAACATTCTTGACATATATGATAGGGGTTTACCTCATGAAACTTTGCGAAGCCCGTCAATCGGAAGGGCGTCGTGGGATGATGGAGGCCTTCAAGAGCTCCGGGGCGGCGACTCTCTCACAGGAAATGTATTGGTTGTACGTACTGGCTGACGAATCAGAGGCTCCGGCTCCAAGCTCGGACAACGAGTAGTCTTGAAGTACCTTCATTAAAAATTAGGCCCCATAGTTTAAACCCCTTCAACATGTATAAGTGAAGGTATCGTCAAACCTTCACTTAAATAGTTGATTAGGGTTGCAAACTTGTTATTTCACCATGAATAGAAGGTATCGTCAAACTTTTTTATAAAATTATATATATTGTGGTTTCCAATTAATTATATAATCAAATCGATGTTGACATTTAAATTTGGGAAGTCCGTGGCTTGGGATGTTTGGCAATTTGTTGATTAGGAATTTGGATCAACTAGTTGGATATCCCATGTAGTGGTGTTTTAAAAAAAAATAACTGAAAAAAATACATAAATAGACAGTTTGGCTACTAAATTAAATGATTTGACACTAATCTAGAAAATCTTTTGCTAACCATGTGATTAATAATTTTCAAGATATTTTGACACAAATTCAATTGCATTTATTTAAGAAAAAACCATGTGCCTAATAACTTTAAAGATATTTTGGGAAAAAAAAATGGTTGCAGTTATTTAGGAAAAAAATCCGATTCAAATTAATATCTACTTCATTTCATAACTCAAATTTGTGTGCAACTTTAAAAAATTTGATCCCAGTCTAAAATTATGGATTCTGGTTTTTTTTTTTTATAACAAATTTATCGAAGTTTTGGTGAGTTAATATTAAATCAATTTTTTTGGAATAAAAATTTGTGCATCTTTGATGTTTACAAGATATCTATTAAAAATCACGTAAGATTTTATTGTTTAAAAAGCATAAAATTTTGATGGTAATATTCAATTTAATTTTTAATACGATAAAGACAAAGTGTACACTTGATTTACTAAAAAGAAAAAATACAATAAGACAATCACGAGTCGATTGAAATCCACCGCACATGTAAAACAAAGTGTACAATTCATCGGTTCGGTCCAACTTACCAAAACCACATAAAAAGAAAACGACAAAATAAATAGAAAAATAATTTCATGGTCAATATTTGGGTCCTATAATAAGGTCCTGTTATTGATTGGGGAAAAGTCTTTTACTCCCAATTCAGTAATATTATTTTCTGGAAAAGAAAAACTACAATATATATATAAATATATATTTTATTGAGCAAATTTGACTGTTTGGTTGGCCACACAACTAACGATAAAGTCAAGTCATAATATGAAGGTGGCAAAATCAAATCCGTCTAGAAATGCTCAACGGTCACGCGCAAGCCTATGTGACGTGTGTACAGCCTTTAATGTCTTAGATAATTGGATGGCGAAATTTCTAGGATGAAACAAAAATAATTGTCTTTGTTTAGAATTCGATTCGTATTTTTTTTTTTTTTNCATATGACTTTTTTTTTTTTTCTGACTAGATGGTATCCCCACATTCATCGCTGGGCCTCACACAAACTGCCAGCCCACCACTATCGGGTCTGGGCCCTAACGGCCTATGGTTACACCCATCGAGAAGTGGGACTAATCCACCTAGGGAGAAACTGGACGTCTCAACCATTCCTCCACGTTCGCAGGATCGATCCCCCGACCTCCAGGATACACGAAACTTGTCGCCTTCTCCCTTCACCGCTGGACTTCACGCCCTGGAGGCAGAATTCGATTCGTAATTGTGTACTTTTTGTAATATTGGATTAGTACACACCTACACACAATAATTACACTTACATTATCATTTAATTGTAGTATTAAATAATTTTTTTTAATGTTCAATCAACACACATTTTTTTTTTTTCTCTGACAATCAACACACATTTAATTATCAAAATTTTCGCAATTGAATCAACATAAATTGACGTTGACCGTAGGGTGAAATTGTTCGGCATCTTGATTGAGAAGAGGCCAAGCATATTTACTTTAGTTCGCTTTTAACTATATGATTAACTAGTGTAAAGACTTGTTGAATTATAATAAAGCCATAAACTTTATCAAAGAAAATAACTTTAGAAATAATTATACGAGAATGAAAAAACATTCTTACAAACACAAGTAGGGTTGCTTTATAACTGTAGCTATTGATTTTTGTTTAAATTTTTTTTCTTGTTTATCAAATGATAAGACTTTATTAATAGACAAAAGTGTTATACCGGAAGGACAATCCTATTTTGGACTTATAGCGGCCAAATGGAAAAACAAACAACACTAAACATACAAACACAAAATAAAACAACTAATACACTTCAGTAGGGAGATTAAAACACTACAACAAATGCAGATTAACTCAACACAATACAAAAGATAATTTTTAGAAAAAATAAAAAAATAAAAACAACACAAACTATTAAATAAATAAAATAATCACACAAAATAGTATAACACAACTCAAACCTATAAAGTAGAACAATGTCTCTCCCTCCTGCATCGAACTTGTCGCCACAGCTGCCAACACAAATATTGAGCCTCCGATGCTCATCTGCAATAACATTAGATATACTCAAAGACGCTAATTGGTCTCCTAATCCAAAGACGACGAGAATAAACCCCACATCCAAACTCTCAAATTTGAAAACTCCATTTAATAACTCATATTATGCTATAGACTCCAAATGTGCATAAGTTTTTTTCTTTTTTTTTTAAATAAATTATCTATAATTTTTTATGAAAAAAATAAAATCATTATTTTGAGAAATGTTTTATTAATGTTATAAATAAAATATTTTTATTGTTTTTCTTTATTTTTTAAATATAAATTTCTTAATAACGCCACTAGCGCTAGTATGTCTACTGATTGATTAACAAACATACATATTCATATGAGTATATGTCGATCTAAAGTTGCCAGGAAATCGAAATGCACTTGCAGTCGATCATGGTCATGGAACATTTTTATATAGCACTCAGGATGGTTTGGTGGACCGGCCTAAGTGGTTAGCTCGGCTTAGACAGGTTCAAAAAAAAGAATTCTCCTAGAAGCTCGTACATATGGAGAGAATACATCACGACCAGGAGGTCGTGGTGACGATCTGGTTAAATCTAGAGACGGGCAGGTCACGAGATTGTGGTTACGACCTAAGAACTTAAGTATTGTATGGTAACAGGGGGTATAATCATTTAAGGATAAAAAGTGAATCTTATTAAAGAGTCTCAAGTTTTAGAGATGTGGTAAGCTAGTAAATTGCATAGGAAGATCTTTTCTATTAGGATTTTCTTGAGTATCAAAATACCTTATTGTATAATGGCAGTCAGGTTCTTATTTACATAGGACAAATGCATACACATTTAAATAATTCTTGTTTATTTTCACGAGCTTACACTGATTTGAGCGTCAAAAGTTTTCCGTCGAGATCTCTCCCTAATATTTTGCAGGTAATTTGAGCTCAAAATCGACGTCCGTTTGTGGTGATCTGGTTCAACCCTATCAAAGGCAAATTTGCACATCAATTTTAAATTGGATCAACATGCAATCTCCTCGTATTGTGTGTGTATCATGTTGACAAAATACAATAATTGTGGTCGGCTCTACACCCGATCACACCAAACCTTATGCGTCGCACCTAACAATTACTCAGCGTGCCACGTCGGCATTTTCACCTTCCCTAGTCTCACCTCCACGCCAAAAATGACGAAAAACCAAAACCTCTTTCCCTCACATTCTGCAAACCTCTTTATCTCTCACATTGTGTGTGTATATGCATACTTATATATGTATGTTTATCTGCCCTCATTATTTGCTTCACATTTATCCCCATCTCTTCCTCTCTACCACCTCTTGTTATCTTTATCTCCATTTTCACATCAATTTTCTTTAGATAATCCCGATGTCTACCTCCACTCTCACCGGACTATTGAACCATGTCGCCGGATTATACCCTTCCCGGCGAGCCATCTCCGTCTCCGGCAAGTTCGATCTCACTCATGCACGCCTCCGTCAGCTAGTCGAGGGCGCCGCCGTTCAACTGATCTCCGCCGGCGTTAGGCCCGGCGACGTCGTCGCGCTCACTTTCCCAAACACCGTCGAGGTATGCTTTCTTCGATTTGTAAATAAATTTTCGATTCTGATTTGATCCCTCGATTTATTTCTTTCTGGGTTAGATGCAGACCATAAATTAATCGAATTCGCCCTGTTTTGTGTTTGTTTTCGTTTCCCGTGGCGTATGATTTTGACCGATTCACTATTTTATTTTGCGAAATTGGAGTACAGTTTGTCGTGATGTTTTTGGCCGTGATACGCGTCCGTGCCACGGCGGCGCCGCTGAACGCCGCCTACACTTTCGACGAGTTCGAGTTCTACCTATCGGACTCAGAATCGAAGCTCCTACTCACCTCGAAAGAAGGTAACGAGCCGGCTCAAGCCGCGGCGGCCAAGCTCAGCATCCCCCACCTCTCGGCCAGCCTTCCCTCTGCCGACTCAGAAATCATCCTGTTCCCGGTTAACTCCGAGTCGGACCCGGGCTCGCTCTCCAAACTCACCAACGACCCGTCCGACGTGGCTCTCTTCCTCCACACCTCCGGGACCACGAGCCGGCCCAAAGGGGTGCCTCTAACCCAGCAGAATCTCTACTCGTCCGTCCAAAACATAAAATCCGTGTACAAAATAACCGAATCAGACTCCACCGTGATTGTCCTGCCGTTATTCCACGTCCACGGATTGTTAGCGGGCCTTCTCAGCTCTCTCGGGTCCGGAGCCTCAGTGGCGCTGCCAGCTGCAGGGCGGTTCTCCGCCTCAACCTTCTGGCCAGATATGAACAGGTACGGCGCCACATGGTACACAGCTGTGCCGACAATCCACCAGATCATACTCGACCGCCACCTCAGCAGACCCGAGCCATCCTACCCTAAGCTCCGGTTCATCCGAAGCTGCAGCGCATCCTTGGCCCCTGCAATAATGGCCCGTCTGGAAGAGGCCTTTCAGGCCCCGGTTTTGGAGGCTTATGCCATGACTGAGGCCACTCATCTGATGGCATCCAACCCATTGCCTGAGCACGGCCCGCATAAGCCCGGGTCAGTGGGCCGGCCCGTTGGTCAGGAGATGGCAATTTTGGATGAGAATGGGGTGGTGCAAGGGGCTGATTCCAATGGGGAGGTTTGCATAAGGGGTCCGAATGTGACCCGAGGCTACAAGAATAACCCTGAGGCGAATAAGTCGGCTTTTCAGTTCGGCTGGTTTCATACAGGGGATTTAGGGTACTTTGATTCGGATGGGTATCTGCATCTTGTGGGCAGGATCAAGGAGTTGATCAATCGTGGAGGTAAATATTTTCTTTTTCCTGCTTGCATTTTTTGTGCTGATTATATATATGGTAGAATTAGAATTTGTATGCTGTGTTATTGGTGATGTGTATTGCAGTGTAGTAGCAAAGTATGTGGATCTTTCGGATTCTTAAGTTTGTTGATTTTTTGTGCATTTGATCTTATATTGGTGGGAATTTTTCGCATTTGATATGCTTTGGAACTCAGGTTAGGCAGGCAACGATAACGGTGTACGATTGCGAGTGTTTCTAGTACTAGAATGTCTACTTTGGTTAACTCCCTTGACAATTTAACTCCCTTGACAATTGAGGTTTAGTTTAATATCAAGACTATTGATGTGAGATTAGTGAGAAATAAAATGACTTGTTTCTATTGAGTTTAGTACCAAAGATGACTGAAGTGAGATTAATGGAACAAAATGACTAAATAAACTCAATTTCTAATCCCATTAAAGTTTTCTCAAATTTGGAAGTTTGTGTAGTTCAGTATACATGTGCTTTGCTTGAAGTACGATGTCAGCTTTTCTAGTATCCAACGGTGGCTCAATACATGCATGAAAGGTCATATCTCATTTGCCCAGCTTTCAGAATTCGTCATTGGGTGCTATTAAAAAATGTCTATACGTCGTAAAGTTAACCTTTATTGTCAATAATCGATCTTGTGCTTTGTCCTTCTGTTGTAACAATTTTTTTTTTTTTTGCCTAATAAGACCAAACTAAGTTGTGTACCTGAACGCCTGGCTTCTTCTTAACTTGTGGTCTCGAACGAAATTGTGCAATACCACAAAATTGCATTGATTGATTTCGACATTTTTGTTTGGCATTATGTGACATCAAGTTTTTTTCCACCTTTTGCAGGAGAAAAAATTTCACCAATTGAAGTAGATGCTGTTTTATTGTCCCATCCTGATATTGCTCAAGCTGTTGCTTTTGGTGTCCCTGATGATAAATATGGAGAAGAGGTACACGACATTGCTCATACTCTGTTTCTTTATTACAAACACATGTTTTCTGTAAATTTATTAGTTGTGTGTGTATCTTTTATATGGATGTCTTATTCAGTGATTGCTTTTGCTGGCTTTCAACTGTATAGAAAGGAGTTCACTTTAACTAACCACTTGTAATGGAAATAAAAACACAAGCTTTATATTATGCCACCAAATTAGAATTTTAAGTCTACGGATATTGAGGAGTTGTATTTGTATTGTTTTTGTCAAAAATCAAATATTTTTTTTTAAGTCATTTCCCTTTCACCAAGAAGCACCAGTGAAGCACCCCTTATTTTGTATGCTTTATGTGTGGGTCCTTATGTTTTTGTCATTGCACTCCAAACAAATTTTATTCCCAATCAGTCACATGCAAACCCCAAATCAATCTCCTATCAAAAATGTATTATAAGTCTTTAACTTTGTTGTTCCTAGTTCTTCACCTCTTAAAAACTATTCTTGATGTTTGATAGTAATTTGCAATAAATAAATAAAACATTTGTCTTTTGGAATTAAAATTACCCAATTTATGATGTATCACCTTATTCTTCGTAAAATTTGAGATAACGGAGTTTTG